CCTGGGCTTGCCATGCATAGATTGGGCATAGATGATCGTCGATGGATTAATCCAACTTCGGCATCCTCACAGGATTTCGCCGCCAACTGCACGCCAAATTGCTGCAGCCATCTGTCACCTCAATGAAGGTACCCTTGACAATCATGTGGCAGGTGGGCATTTTGGTCTCGTCTTCCTGCAGCGACAAAGTTCGAAAGGCGAGCTTTTTGGCATGTATTCAGGCGGCCCGTTCAAGCTTTGGTCCTGGCTGCGAGGAAGGACCGAGCACAATCGGAGGCTCCGGCCAGCAAGCACTGTGCAATGTGTCGGTCCTCGTCTGGCTCCACTTCCGTGCGTCTCCTGTTCACCGGAGAAAGGCCATATAGTGCTGCTACCCTAAGCTCATGAAAACGGTGCAGGAAAGAGCTATAAGTCCAAGCCACCAATAGGCTTGAGTGGATGCAGAATTTCAGATAAATACCAGGGAGAGATGTAAACAACAGACGCCTCGGGGAGCTTCCTGGTGTCGTTTCGACCTCACTGACCTCATCAGCAGCCTTCGCCGCTGCCTCGGGTTCAAACCAGCATACACAACTCGCAAGTCACGACATCGACCTCACCGCGACCTGGGCCTCCAGCTGGAACAGCACCGAGTTCGGCGAGCAGCGCGGTTGACATGCTGACCAAACACACACTCCCAGCCAAAACGCTGCGGCTAGCCGAGGGCTCGCTCGGACTGGGCTCGCGACAGTTTCACGAAGCCAAAGCCAAAAAAGTTGCAAGAAAGCTTTTCTGTGGTCTGCTGTCACGCCAGTCGTCAGCTTCGCTGCTTTTGATTTCAACAGCTCCCAGCCTGTGCTGGGTAAAGCATAAGACGTCATCAGGTTTGCTCCTGGCAGCTAAGCAGCTGGTTGGTACCGTGAGCCCCAGCTCAATACCACGATCGGCCATTGGCCAACGAGCAACCCGGCGTGCAAGATGATTTGCCCAAGCTCAATCAGCCATTTGCTCCGGAAGGCCTTTCAACACTGCGAGAAAAGCTGTACAGATCAACGCAGGGCAGCTGAGGCCCAAAAACTGAAATCAAGGACAACCGCAGCGATTTGTAGCCTGCGGCATCCCTTTCTAATCACTGAAACAAACTCATGTAGTTCAAAAGCCCTGCCAGCCAGAAAGGCTCTCGAGGTGGCAATCAGTGCAGCAGGTCTAGGGGCTTCGAAAATCAGCATGAGGTTTATTCGACGAGCCACGCTGAAGCAGAGCATGCCCTGGGGACAACAGAATTATGAGTTAGTTCCTCTCAGGCAGTTGTTGACTCCTGGAATCCTCGAATCCAAGACCGATCTCGTTGACTCAAAGAAGGAGACAGTTTATGTACAAAAGCATCAAACGCTGGATTGCTTGGATTTCAGATTGGCCAACTCCTTGCAGCCTAATTCGAGACTTTGCACGGCCAGTGCCAGTGCTATGCGGTATGCAGGTGGAGCAGCTGGCTGATTTGCGTCTGCCCTTAGTGGCGAGACACTGGCTCTGGCTCTCTCTATGTTGCTATTTTTGGTCGGGAAGCTGCTTGCAAGCTGAGCCACTTTCCAGACTCCATGAGCGTCTGTACTGTACAGGAACGTGGGAAACGTAACCTCGGCTGTTCGTTGCAAGTTACCAGTAACTGTCACCCCCCGGCCCCGTGGCCATTAGTGTTCTGCAGCTGTGCAGCGAAACAAGATTGCACCGCTATGCAGCAGCGTATTCTTCGGCGCTGCCTCAATCGACGGGCAATCGATGGATCTGACTTCCAAACGTGGCCAACGCAAAGCGAGATGCCAAATGGCACTCACTGGCTGGGGCGAGGCGGTGGCGGCTTGATCTGCAGTCGTGCGTCCAAAGCTTTCCCGGATTTTCCAAGAGTGCAGAGACTCCAACTAGCACGAAGTTTCACCGCACAACATTTGCCAGCCTTTCGAGTGGGGCATGGGAAGGGCTGGCGGACTCCATCCGTGAAGACGACGGGCCTGTACTCGTCAGGCACGCTCCTCAGGCAGCTCCAGCGGCTTCAACAGGCTTCGCTGAACGCTTAAACACGATACGCAGAGCACAAACAACAAGACTTCACGAACCTTCAGTATGCTCTGTCCCGAACCCCATGCACGCACTGGTTGACGCGACGCAGCTCAAGGCACCAAATCCGTAGCAAATTAAATCTACAATTTGTGGACGAGCCTGTAAATGGCAACAGTGCCCAGAGACCAAATTACAGCCAAGATCAACCAACTACTGTGACCCTGCCACCAGCTTCTTTGGTTTGATTAAAGAGTTGGTCACACTTTGTCAACCTCTCGCCCTTCTGCGCACTCCACCACATATCGCGAAGGGATGCGCCGGGTGCCACATTAGACAAGCCCCCGTCCTGTGCATCACTGGACTGTTCCGATAGCGCTCCACATGGGCAGCTAGTCCCTGATGCGGCCCACTCCAGCTCACGCGGCACACCTTCGCAGGGTTGCAGAGCTTTCGCCCTGAGCAGATCGCAAGTCCAGTGTGATGCGCCTTGGCACTTGGAAGCGTCCACCGCTTGAATCCATCGAACTTCCGCCAGAAGGCATGCACTGCTTCCTGGGCTCATGGACATGGAGAATGATGCAGCATTCTGCCGCAGGATTGAGCCTGCTGCGCCTTCATGCGTTCACAAGGACGCGAAGAAAGATGCTGATGCGACTGAGGCTGGGTCATCACTGACCAAGTTCACAAAGGCATACCCCAAGTTGGCGCTGCGGTCGAAATCATGTGGCAAGTACACAAAGTCATACCTTACATGGGCAGCTTGAAAACAGATCAGGTCTTCCCCAGTTGATGCTTGCTTGGCCTTTGCCTGCAAATGGATATGCCAAGGAGCTTTCCTGAGAAACCATAATTATTCAGCATACTCAGCAACATCTCCCTGCACAGGACACTCGAAGCCGTGTGTGTGGACTTTGGGAGTGACTTGGCACGCCTCGTGTAATTGTTAGGAACATTCCGCATCATCACGGTGCTGCGATCTGTGGCACTGGTCTTCTGCTCCTCCTCACACTGAAGACATCTTAGCCTACGCCTACGGCCTAGGGTCCTACCCAGTACCAGTTGTTACCAGCAGTAACTCTTGCATCTCTTGCCCGCTCTTCGAAGCAAACCTCGGAGGCTCGGTCCTTCTTGCAAGGGCGGACCGGCTGCCTCAGAGGCAAAGGCATAACAAGGACGACGACATATTAAAAAAAACGCGCAGCCTCAGAGACTTGCGGCTCGGCGGCTTTGGCGACTCTGGAGCAGTCGAGACTTCGCTCTCCTCAGGCGAAAAGCTGCAGGAAGCCTACGCCCCCCATGGGCCCCCAGATCCGCCCGAGCCCAAAATCTAAAAGCCGAGGCACCACCTCCGCATCGCTGGCCTGCATTCTGACAAAAGCAAGCTGCACTGGCCCATCGAGGAGTTCAGCCTGTGAAGTCCGCGGTGATTGCCTCGAGCTGCGGAGCTCCTCCTGCGACGAGAAAGAGCAGTGCTGGGAAGGGCATCGAACAAGCGCCCACTTCCGGTCTCCTGCTCATCACTAAATTTGCCTGGTGTGTACGATTCCTCCACGAGGTCGAAGAGATCTGACTCCTCGCGGGACAGGCCGCAATGCAGACTGTCAAACATTGGCTGGTCGTTGGCTGAACTCAACCCAATGCAGCAAACACCGTCCGACTTGCACTGGCGCAGCTGGCGCCACATTTCAGTCAAACTGAGGCCCTCTTTCAAGTCCACGAAGGTCGACTTCACCTCAGCCAGTGCAAAACGACGTGTCTCTTGCAGAGAATCTCCTTGCCACCCAGTGGCCACGACGATCTGCGAATTTGCGGCCTGGAAGAGCAGAGGAGCTTTGGAGCTCGAACCCTTCGGAGGCTTGCAACTTGAAAGCCTACAGTAGGTCTCAATTTCTCAAAACTCTCACACTTCGGCGATCTTCGGCCTGCATCTTCGCTTGCCTCTTTTCAGCCAGGGAGCTTGAGCCAACTCTGAGGACGCGCCCCCAATTCCTTCAATCCTTGCAGGTCCCTGCCCCAATTATTTCTGCCCGAAACCTCATGGCAAGAGGAGAACGCCTCTGGGTCTTAGGGCACCTTTTTCTAGCGGCTCTGTGTCTTCGGGTGGATTGGACGCCGATGCTGTTGTTGCTCAGGCTTTCCGAGGCATACCAAAATTTTGGTAAGTGCAGGCATCTTCCTGATTGAGATCACCATTGGGATCACACTGTTCTCGGTGAAATACACCATCTCTCAGATCTGTCATCAGGTTGACAATACGCAGATGTCATATCCCTTGCTTGCAGACCGCCTCGACAAACTCGTGGCCTCTGCTACAAGCAATGTTACTGGCCATCACGCTCTGCCAACTGACTGTTGTCAGTCTCGCTGGCATCGAACATGGCGCTGCTCTGCTCGGGCAATAAAGCAGCAAACACAACATGAAGGAACGACATCGAAGGGCATGCACGACTAAATTTGTGAAGAATTCCAATAGCATGGCCAGCCAAAGTAAAGGAGGCCATGCCAAGACTTTGGAGAACGGGTGGAGTCCAGGGTAGCTTTACAAACCGGACACCTCACCCACTCTCCGACACTAGGCACTCCAGCATGGAGTCATGAGCCTGACACAGACTGGTAAAGAACAGTTTCTCACAAGCAAACGCGAGTCCAAGCTATAGGAGAATGAAGTGACGAAAGTTAATTTGCTTCGCATAGAAAGTATGACAAGTCGACGAGGCTGATTCTTGGACTCAGCGGTCTTTGTGAGTACATGAACCAGGCAACCCTCTAGGCAGCCAGTCCGGTGTAGGGTCCTTAGACACCATCTGCGCATCACTCGAAGACAGCATTTCCGCAGAAACAGGTTGCAACTCCGTACTCTGGTCCCCCACATGCTAATGCATGAAAGCCATACATCCCGAACCCGAAAAGCAGCACTGCATGCGAGCGTCAGACATGAAGGAATGCAGCGCGACGATCCGGAATCATTGCTTTCCAGCTTTCTTTGGGTGCTGAATTCGGATTGTTGGAGCAGGAAACTTCTTTCGCACCCCGTTGGCGAATATCATGGGCTTGTACTCGTCAGGGACGCTCCTGGACAAGCAGCCACTGTCGCAGCAGACGCTCAGTGCCGACATTCTGCATCACGATCTGGACTTTCTGCTGTCTGTTCGTCTTTCAAGCAGAACCGCTGCAGAACATGAGACATGCCAACATTACAACTACAAGGACCTCGAAGGCCCAAGGCCAGCGTTACTCCGGGCTGACGTCAAAACTCCTGCTGTCCCAATGCCCAGTGGCTTGTGCATCACGGGGCTGTTCTTGTAGCGGTCCACGTGGGCCTTGAACCCTTGCTTCGGACCGCTCCAGGACACCTCACAAACCTGCGACAAGCAAGGAGAGGCTCGCATGACTTTGCCGAGAGCTTTGCACAGCTTGCGCAGGGTCGTGCAGGATCACACTCTGTTTAAACCTTAAGGGTTTTAAGGGGAGCCACAGACTGACCGTGTCTCACGGAAGCGGTCTACAACAGCTGCAGCCTTCGAGGAAGGGAAAGACCATGCGCTGAACCCGTCGAAGAGCTCCCAAAATGAAGCAACGGCTTCCTGATGCAGGGTCTCGGTGACAAATGCTATTATGAAGCACCCCAGCACACGGCAAACTTGGCGTGGCGGTCCTCACTGACGAGGTTTACGAAGGCGTAGCCGAGGTTTGCCCTACGCGTGAAGTCGATTGGAAGGTAGAGAAAGTCGTACTGCCCGGCGAAGTCGCGTGAGTCAAGCAGCTGTAGCAGCATGGACCTGTAGCCACTTGATACGTGCCGTTTGCTGCGTTTTGCTGCAGTGCCGCACAATGCTGCACATGTAGACACGAGCCTTGTGTAGTTGTTGGGCAGATTTCGCATCATTACCGTTGTGCGCGGCCTCCTTCGGCTTGAATCCTGTGAACTCAGACGGCTTTCGGAGGATTGTTCAAGGATTGTGCTACATCGGGGAACAAGAGGCCAAGAGATCAGGTGTCGAGATCGGGCTCAGCATCTTAGCAGCTCCTCACTGAGGACACCCGAAATCACCCGAAACTTCGCATCTCGAGCTTGAAGCAACAGCTGGATGTACAAGGCCTGCCTGCTTTGGCCATTCGCCGTGTTCCTTCGCAGGATTCGAGCTTAAGAGCGAAAGACAGGTCTCTACAGACGTGCATCTCCTCTTCGCACTTTTCTTCACAGGTCTCAGGTTCGCTGTTGTCCTGGAAGGAATACTAACACACTGACTGTCTCAGCTTCGCAAACAATGCACCCGACCATGTCAAGACAAATGCCCTCTCCCTTCTCCCCCGCCCCCTCGATGCAGACCTCTGCTCCAGAGGGCATTGTGGGCGTTGTCGCGCCAGTCTGTGGGCAACATGGAGGAAGATGCAGGCGCATACGAAGCAGGCACGGCCACCAGAGTAGTGGGATGACACTCTGCAGTTCGACCGTTCGACACCCAGGCAGTCAAAGCAGATCGGCCTTTGTCCCTGAGTCCTCTGACTCTGAGCGATCCTGAAGCTCAGCTCCAAAAGAGCAGGCAGCATGCGCATCTTCACAAAAGAGGAGATGCCAAGCCCTCGACGACACACTTTGGTGAAAATGTGCCTGGCTCGTAGACCTCGCCGCGCGGCAAAAGCCAAAAAAAGCACAGTGCGAGCACGACTACCTATAATCTCCATTCTAGGTCCCTTTTTGGAATACCTTCTTCAGAGGAACTACAGTGGAGATTATAGGTACACTCACGACACTGCCACATAGTCTGCAATAGAACAAGGCTCCTCTGGGCCCTCTCCGTCGTCCAGGTTCCCATCTGTAGAGGCCTATCGGAAATTGCCAGCGTGGGAAGCGAGCCGTGCAAGCGAGACCGAGGTCTGCCACATAAGCCTATACCGTGTACCCCGATGTTTGGTGAGAATATTCTGGTCGAGTCGCGCTCCCACCCATCCCACGTCTCCCCTGGCCCCTTCGGGGAATCTTCCATCCAGCTGGTGAACATAGTCGGGATGACAGGCCACTTCTCTCCCCTCTAGCACCACGTATTCTGCTAAACATTGCTCTGATTGTTCTGCACTTACGACCCTGATGACCTTGCTACAACAAGAGTATAACTGCTTCTACTGGCGACACTTCATTCATGGAGTGCATGTTTTATTGCATGCAGTAGCTGTAGCGGCGATGAAAATTGAAAAAGCAGCAGTACTAGTAGGTATGGCATTGCGTGAAGACATTCCTAGGCTTTAAACCCTTGAAGCACCCGAAATATTAGAACCCTGTGATATCTTACGGCTCTTGCTTCAGGCCTTGCGAAAGGTCCGGAATCCTTGGCTGGGAACTCTTTTTCCAATTCTGCTCACTCATGCAAGGGCTTTGGCCTTAAGCCTGAGGACATGAGTAGGATTCATGTATTCAGGACCAAAAAAAACCTACAGCCTAACTGCCATCGAAGGGGCGTTTCTTGAGACTGAGCCCATCCCCCATGTCCAGGAAGGTGCTTTTGACCTCGGAGCGCTGTGCGAGAGAGGTCATGGTGGCGTCACCGAGAGGCCGGGAGCCCAAGTGCAGCCTGAGCTTCGCAGAGCACCTCACCCTCTTTGCCCTCCTGCTTTGTGGCACTTCCGGCTTCCAGCTCAAAGTTGAAGTTGACGATTTGGGATTTCCTGAGGCGACAGATGCTCATCCTCTTCGAACCGCGTCCCACTGTCCTACTTTTCAGCCATGTGGCGAGGCGTCTCCTCCAGCGAACTGAGAAGGAGAATTGCACGCCATGAACTTCACCTGGCGCGCTGGGTGTTGTTGCTGGGAGTGTCATGCTCAGTCTGGGGATATCTCATCAGCCACTTGATGCGCTCTGGAACCAGTGGCTCACAACCGGATTGCAGACCAGGGCACAGGCAGCGGTCTTTACAGTGCTGCAAAACTGGTCAGCCTAATGCCTTTCTGTGCCATGTCTAACGGCGAGCCGAAGAAGCCAACGGAGAAAAAATGACATGTTGGCATGCGGTCTCCTGTCACTGCGTATGCCGGACTGAACAAACAGAGAGCTGATGGAGAGGGGATGCTGCACCCTCCTCAATCAACAGAGGCCATCAATGCATTAACTCTTCCTGACAGGCTGCAGGACCGTAGGAATCTAGAGCCACATTAAAGTTGCTGGGTGCCCAGACAGGCGTGGTTTTCCAGGCCCTGCATCACAACAGTCATCACTATCACTGATGCTGCATTCGAAGAATGATCGGCTGACAGCTACTGCTCAGGAATTCAGGTGCATCATGCATGAGCTTCATGAGGTTCGACACCCGCTGCCTGAACTGGCGTCAGCCGCAACGGGAGAGCCTTCCACAAGCACACGTTTTGAGCCTAAGCTTGCATTCCTTTCTGCAGGCAAACGGTGCTGCAGGATCCCTGTGTATTTGTCGAAGCACGGGAGCCTTGCGGACTGCTTTCGAGAAGCTCCTTCAGCCACAAATGATCCAGCCGATAAAACTGAGCAATGTGCCCTCACTTTTGCCCACGAACTCGTAGAATGCCGCAAGATGAAACAATCCTGCTGCCCGCCGCTGCTGCTGCTGCTGCAACCCACATGCCATTACTGTCATATGAGTCATATTTGCCCGTCTGCTTACGATGATGGCTGCTTTGTTCACGCTCCTCGTGCTCCTCAACATGGACGCAATCTTTGCGACCGCGACACCCAACTTGCGCGCAGTTGCAGCGCCGGTCCAGTGAAACCTAGAGTCAACCTCTTACACTCTCAGTCTCTGTACATCTTCCGTCGACGCATAGCTGGGCATGTAGCTGTGCGAAGTCGCTAGCCACTGTGCGTTTGGCAGTGCTCGCATCTCATGCATTTGTGCGTTGCTCTGGGCGAGCGCATGTCTGTGTTTTTGTCATGGCTCCAATCTATTCAACTGGAAGGGATGCGAACCATGAATGTTATGGCAGCAAGACGGCCCAATACTCGTTCACCGAACAGTCCATCTCGCCGACTCACGTACCTGCACGGTTGCTGCAATCTGTACATTTGTGGGTTCCAGGGCACACCGCAGATGCAACAGATGGCAGCAACCGCGCCTCTAGCCAATGGCTGTCCATCTCGCCGACTTCCGAGAAACTTCGTATACCTGCACGGTTGCCGCAATCTGTGCATCCAGGTTCTAAGGAATTCCAAAGATGCAACAGATGGCAGCAAACGCGCCTCAAGCCAATGGCTGTCCATCTCGCCGACTTCCGAGAAACTTCGTATACCTGCACGGTTGCCGCAATCTGTGCATCCAGGTTCTAAGGAATTCCAAAGATGCAACAAATGGCAGCAACCGCGCCTCAAGCCAATAGCATGCCAATGGCTGTCCATCTCGCCGACTTCCGAGAAACTTCGTATACCTGCACGGTTGCCGCAATCTGTGCATCCAGGTTCCAAGAAATTCCAAAGATGCAACAGATGGCAGCAACCGCGCCTCTAGCCAATGGCTGTCCATCTCGCCGACTTCCGAGAAACTTCGTACACCTGCACGGTTGCCGCAATCTGTGCATCCAGGTTCTAAGGAATTCCAAAGATGCAACAAATGGCAGCAACCGCGCCTCAAGCCAATAGCATGCCAATGGCTGTCCATCTCGCCGACTTCCGAGAAACTTCGTATACCTGCACGGTTGCCGCAATCTGTGCATCCAAGTTCCAACGAAGTCCAAAGATGCAACAGATGGCAGCAACCGCGCCTCTTGCCAATGGCTGTCGACTTCCGAAAAATGTCGTATACCTGCACGGTTGCCGCAATCTGTGCATCCGGGTTCTATGGAAGTCCAAAGATGCAACAGATGGCAGCAACCGCGCCTCTGGCCAATAGCTGTCGACTTCAGAGAAACTTCGTACACCTGCACGGTTGCCGCAATCTGTGCATCCAGGTTCCAAGGAATTCCAAAGATGCAACAGATGGCAGCAACCGCGCCTCTAGCCAATGGCTGTCCATCTCGCCGACTTCCGAGAAACTTCGTACACCTGCACGGATCCCGAGAATCTGTGCATCCAGGTTCTAAAGGATTCCGAAGATGCAACAGATGGCAGCAACCGCGCCTCTAGCCAATGGCTGTCCATCTCGCCGACTTCCGAGAAACTTCGTATACCTGCACGGTTGCCGCAATCTGTGCATCCAGGTTCTAAGGAATTCCAAAGATGCAACAGATGGCAGCAACCGCGCCTCAAGCCAATGGCTGTCCATCTCGCCGACTTCCGAGAAACTTCGTATACCTGCACGGTTGCCGCAATCTGTGCATCCAGGTTCTAAGGAATTCCAAAGATGCAACAAATGGCAGCAACCGCGCCTCAAGCCAATAGCATGCCAATGGCTGTCCATCTCGCCGACTTCCGAGAAACTTCGTATACCTGCACGGTTGCCGCAATCTGTGCATCCAGGTTCCAAGAAATTCCAAAGATGCAACAGATGGCAGCAACCGCGCCTCTAGCCAATGGCTGTCCATCTCGCCGACTTCCGAGAAACTTCGTACACCTGCACGGTTGCCGCAATCTGTGCATCCAGGTTCTAAGGAATTCCAAAGATGCAACAAATGGCAGCAACCGCGCCTCAAGCCAATAGCATGCCAATGGCTGTCCATCTCGCCGACTTCCGAGAAACTTCGTATACCTGCACGGTTGCCGCAATCTGTGCATCCAAGTTCCAACGAAGTCCAAAGATGCAACAGATGGCAGCAACCGCGCCTCTTGCCAATGGCTGTCGACTTCCGAAAAATGTCGTATACCTGCACGGTTGCCGCAATCTGTGCATCCGGGTTCTATGGAAGTCCAAAGATGCAACAGATGGCAGCAACCGCGCCTCTGGCCAATAGCTGTCGACTTCAGAGAAACTTCGTACACCTGCACGGTTGCCGCAATCTGTGCATCCAGGTTCCAAGGAATTCCAAAGATGCAACAGATGGCAGCAACCGCGCCTCAAGCCAATGGCTGTCCATCTCGCCGACTTCCGAGGAGTTTCGTACACCTGCACGGTTGCCGCAATCTGTGCATCCAGGTTCTAAGGAATTCCAAAGATGCAACAGATGGCAGCAACCGCGCCTCTAGCCAATTTCTGTCCATCTCGCCGACTTCCGAGAAACTTCGTATACCTGCACGGTTGCCGCAATCTGTGCATCCAGGTTCTAAGGAATTCCAAAGATGCAACAGATGGCAGCAACCGCGCCTCTAGCCAATGGCTGTCCATCTCGCCGACTTCCGAGAAACTTCGTATACCTGCACGGTTGCCGCAATCTGTGCATCCAGGTTCTAAGGAATTCCAAAGATGCAGCAGATGGCAGCAACCGCGCCTCTAGCCAATGGCTGTCCATCTCGCCGACTTCCGAGAAACTCCGTATACCTGCACGGTTGCCGCAATCTGTGCATCCAGATTCTAAGAAATTCCAAAGATGCAACAGATGGCAGCAACCGCGCCTCTAGCCAATGGCTGTCCATCTCGCCGACTTCCGAGAAACTTCGTATACCTGCACGGTTGCCGCAATCTGTGCATCCAGGTTCTAAGGCATTCCAAAGATGCAACAGATGGCAGCAACCGCGCCTCTAGCCAATGGCTGTCCATCTCGCCGACTTCCGAGAAACTTCGTAAACCTGCACGGTTGCCGCAATCTGTGCATCCAGGTTCTAAGGGATTCCGAAGATGCAACAGATGGCAGCAACCGCGCCTCTAGCCAATGGCTGTCCATCTCGCCGACTTCCGAGAAACTTCGTATACCTGCACGGTTGCCGCAATCTGTGCATCCAGGTTCTCAGGAATTCCAAAGACGCAACAGATGGCAGCAACCGCGCCTCTGGCCAATGGCTGTCCATCTCGCCGACTTCCGAGAAACTTCGTACACCTGCACGGTTGCCGCAATCTGTGCATCCAGGTTCCAAGGAATTCCAAAGATGCAACAGATGGCAGCAACCGCGCCTCTAGCCTCTCGCCAACTTCCGAGAAACTTCGTACACCTGCACGGTTACCGCAATCTGTGCATCCAGGTTCTAAGGAATTCCAAAGATGCAACAGATGGCAGCAACCGCGCCTCAAGCCAATAGCATGCCAATGGCTGTCCATCTTGCCGACTTCCGAGAAACTTCGTACACCTGCACGGTTGCCGCAATCTGTGCATCCAGGTTCCAAGGAATTCCAAGGATGCAACAGATGGCAGCAACCGCGCCTCTAGCCAATGGCTGTCCATCTCGCCGACTTCCGAGAAACTTCGTACACCTGCACGGTTGCCGCAATCTGTGCATCCAGGTTCTAAGGAATTCCAAAGATGCAACAGATGGCAGCAACCGCGCCTCTAGCCAATGGCTGTCCATCTCGCCGATTTCCGAGAAACTTCGTACACCTGCACGGTTGCCGCAATCTGTGCATCCAGGTTCTAAGGAATTCCAACGATGCAACAGATGGCAGCAACCGCGCCTCTAGCCAATGGCTGTCCATCTCGCCGACTTCCGAGAAACTTCGCATACTTGCACGGTTGCCGCAATCTGTGCATCCAGGTTCTCAGGAATTCCAAAGATGCAACAGATGGCAGCAACCGCGCCACTGGCCAATCGCTGTCCATCTCGCCGACTTCCGAGAAGCTTCACATACCTGCATGGTAACCGTGCATGCCAGTGTGTCGCCATTTGTTGTCTGGTGCTGCCACATCCATTTGATTCGGCTTGGGCTGCCCGGTCCAGTCGATCGCACATCCAAGGAAAGGCTCCATTCTGCGCAGGCCAGTTCCATGTGCTAGTCGAGGATGTCCACGCGGACACATTTGCACACAGTTTCTCGCCAGGATCTCCGAGGTGTTGGCATGCGTTGTGCAGCTTCAGAGAAGAGAAATGTCTGTTCCAGCGGAGGGTGCCTCCCGGACGTGTCGGCACTCGCCCATGCCTCGTTTGGTCTTGCGCTTGTTATCGCGATCCATTGCCATTTCTTGAGCCCAAGTTGCGAAAATGGCCTTTTCAAACAGCACCGACTGGAATGAGATGCAAGAAGCCTGTAAGACCGGCTTCCTCACCTCTGCTTCTTGCGGACTTGAAGGAAACAAGAGACCGGTGCGCTATGCTGCGCTTCTCCTTGCCGAGGTACAAGATGCCCTCCCAGAGGCTGGCAGCCTTCAAAGGAGCTGGCTGGGGACCTTTAACCTTAAGCAGAGCTGGAGGTGCGGAGACTACTGTAAACTCTGGAAGTGAAAATAGGCTATGCAAAATGATAGAACAAGGAAGAAGGGCGCAGGGGAGTGGGAGGTGTGTTGTTTGTAGTCGCTTGTTTTGCATGAGCGTCTACGTGTTTCGTTATTCAACTTGGTATCTGCTATTGCTTGCATTTTTCAATTAAAGGCAGCCGAAAATGGAGAACACTACCACTACCAATAACCACGCCACGGCGTCGCGTGTTGTTGTCTTGTTGTTTTTGTGCCGTTTGGCTAGTTACGCTAGTTCCCGTGCGCTTTTTGTTGTGCCGTGTTCGTTCGTTTGTTGTTTGCTGTTTTTTCGTTTCAATATAGCCTAGATTTAATGAACTGCAATGCCACGGTCACTCTCTTTGTCTCATGGAAGTATCAACGTGTCGTCGTCACAAACGTCCACGTCGTTGGGTTTAGACCGACAGAGCTGGGTTCGCTGCGACTGCAGAATACGAGAGTTCGTGCGCCCAGATCCTATCCAACCATGATAGACGCAACCATAGGCTCCTTTCTAACCAGAACTTCTTTCCAGGGACGAGAGGTGCGGTCGGAGTTCCTGAAGATCTGACCGCGAGAACCTGCCACCGACAACCCGAGGCTCGGCACGGAAGTGGTGATCTGCTGCGCACTCTGGTGGAAACGAACAGCTGCCACCTCGGCTTGGCACAAGGGCAGATCCGACTATGCAAGTCTCTTCTCCGAGAGCTTGGGGCTCAGCATTGAAAACTTCGGTGTCCTTGCAACCAGGACCTGAGCGATTTTTTTTCGGGGATATCCCTCTGGGCTCCGAAGGGGCCGTTCTTTCGGGGCCAGCGCAGCAGGGCCTCTCGCCGAGCCGACCTGGGTTCCAAAGGCTTCCCAAATCACAGCCTCGGGAGGACTCGGGAGGACTGAGGAGCGGGCCCACACAAGCGGAGCAAAGAGCCACGGAGCATTTGCTGCAAGCCTAGCGGTAACGCGTGCTATCAAGAAAAGGCTTCCGGGGTGAAGAAGGAGGACCCAGCTCAGGGCAGCGCCAGGTCAAAGGAAGAGCTCGGTGCACTGCACTTGAAACAGCAGTGAGAGACCTGGAGCTGAGCCTGATTGCACCGAAGACTCTTTGCAACGCATGCAGAAGCTTAGAGTCCTTTCCGCGGCCTGACGGGAGATCGTGCGTCGCAGCGCTGCCTGGTCTTCTGTATGCCTCAGGTAAGGTCAGGACAGCTCAGGCTTTGCAGACGTCCTGACCCGGGATTGTCCATCCCTGCCGGGTGCGGCGCAAGATCAGAGGCGAGCCGTCGCTGGAAAACGCACCTCTGCAACACACACTGCCGGAGTCTCTAAGTTTCACAGAAGACCCGCGGGCCGCGTCCTGTCTACAGTCAAGCTCGCAAGAAATTACACTCCGTCCCTTCGCTGGCGCTGGGCAAATGTGGGCGATAGATGGCAGCAAAGCTGGTAGGCGCGAGTCAGCAAAGACATCAAAGACATAGTCCGAGTTTCTTGCACTGCCAAAATAATTCTGAGTCCAGCTAGGCCCGATGCGCGTCGCAAATGCCTCTACCTCGTTGAGAGCCTTCGCCGCGGAAAGCTGCTTTGGAATCGCATGAGATTTGGTGCAGCTCTCTTGCCTCGCCGGCACGATTTGCCAGGCCCATGGCCGCCTCCCAGGCCTCCCAAGGCAAAAGGCATGCTCAGATTGCAGCGGTGCCTTTCCGGAATCTCCGGGCCATGCGAATTTTCAGACTGGCCACGGTCACAGTGGTTGGAAGCCGAGCTGACTGCTGCAGTTA